AACCCAAAGATTCACATGGCCTCTTGTCCGAATTGGTATCAAGTAAACGTTTAATAGTAACCCCTAAGCTTATTACAAGTATTCTTCCTTGCAATATGACCTGGCAAGCAGTTCCTTCAGGCATTACAGCAGCGGCCTTCAGTGGAACTGGCCTCAGATCCTCTGCTGGGTGTGTGGGATGTTAGTTTCTGGATTCCTCGTTATTCAAACAAGAAATCCAAGGCTGCACCTGTCTCCCCAGGGTGGCAACACAGAACACACGTGTGTTCCTTTGTCCATCACTTTTGTAATTTCTCTCATCATAAACTGTCCAATCCCTTGGCTCTGTACCAAGCATTCCTTATGTGGTGCACCACTCCCCTGGCACTGTGCCAGCAACATTCCTTATAGGGAAACTACTGTCCCTTGCTCACCTACTGCCCAGTCACAGCACTCACATCTCCCAGTGCCACAGAAGGCGCTCTGTTCAAATCTTCTGCTTAGTTCTGGGAAGGCCTGGACTATGGCTAAGCCTTAGCATAACTCAGTTTGCCTGCTACAAACATGAAAAACTGTGGCACATGGGCGACTGGTACTGCCATAGTTGACGGGGGGCATGTGCCCCCCGCCCCAGTGACCAGAGAGCGACTGGGGGGGTCCCCCTGCAGCCAATCTCACTGAGGGGGGTCCCCCTGCAGCTGATCCCACCAACTGGCTGGCACTTTCCCCTGTGCACCCCCTACACGTCACCACTACTGTGGCACATAGAGCCAAATGTTCAATGACTCGTTCTTTGTACCTTGAGCGTGCGTACCCCAAATGATAAAGCACCAGACTCTTGCTTTCCCTCCACAATTACCCAAGGTGGGTTATATGTGGTATTTGTGAAAGGGCTTAGCCTCCATTGACTTGAGTAGGAGCATAGCTCAGCTCTGAGCTGTCTGTTTTATGAGGGAGGTCAGGGGCTAATCTATCTAGTGAGCAAAGTGGCTACCTTCCACTTGCAAGCACTTTGGCACCTGCTCTTTACTGAGCAATGCTTTCCCTAGTGACAGCTAGCCTTTGCTTTTCTGTATCAGGTGGGGGACCGAACTTTTCCTGTTGGATTCTGATCACCTTGGTCAGGATGCCCTGCTACCCTTCTACTGCAGCCTTGCTTGGGCCTTTCAGGCCTACCTCCCACCAAGAAGCCAGGGCAGGTATCTGCAATTTCCAGAGCTGATGCAGGAGACCCTAGTCCATAACTTGACTTTGCAGTTGGGGTCACTGAGCCACACCTCCAGAAGCCTACCTCTTCAACTCAGCTCAGTCTGTCTGGCTCTCAGCCAAAGCCTTGGCCAATTGAATGGACCTGTGCTCTGCCTTTTAGCTAAAGTAAAAGCTGCCTTCCCTTCACATGTGCTTGCTGTGCTAGAAGATGACCTCTATGCATGACAAGTCTTCCTTGATGGTAGCTCGCTAGACAGCCCCCCTCTATCACTGCCTGCTTCTCCTGCTGTGGACAAGGATGTGTGTGGCAGGCCCCAGCACCTTGCTATCCCTCCCTTTGCCCACCAAGAACAGTGGTTGGATGAGCCTCTAGATCCCATCTCAGAAAGTGCGGTACACATGGACAGTCAAAGTACATTATACTCATGTTCTTGCCACTTGTCTCAACTTGACTTGGAGGTGGTACTTAGTGACATCAACACCAGAGCAAGCGCATGGACCTGGCACACCCTGTACAAACTACCCATCTCCAAAGAACTGGTGACCTGCAGTGGCCACTGCTGCATGGGGCCCTGGCCACAGGCACCTTAGTCTGTCTCTGAGATCCAATGGCACTGGTGGCCTGACCTTCCTGCAAAGAGAAGGTGGAGGAGACTCTTTCATGCTTTCCTGGACTGCCTTCAGCTGCAGTTCCTTGCTGCCCTCAACATCCTCTTTGGAATTCTGGACTTGGGAGATGGTGTACATTATGGCTGTGCAAAATGGTACAGTTCTGTTTTGATTTGAGTTTTGAGGTTTCGATGGAACAGGATTTTGTTTCGAATTTAATTTCAAGTTGAAACAGCTGTTCCATTTCGTGTCATCGAAACAGTGAGGCTGTTTCGATGTTTCGCCCATTCGCTACAATGGGGAAGCTTGAAATATCCTCTCTCATCTGGCAGGCAGATTGGGCCCCAACCCCAGGAGGGCTGCTGGGGCTGTGCCAGTCCTCCTGGGGCTGAAGGGGCTGAAGGGGCTGAAGGGCCTCCCCCCCCCGATCTGCCTGCCAGATGAGGGCGGGAAGCCAGTGCTGTCACCTGGGACCGGGGAAAGGAACTGAGCCCTATTGTTCAGTTCTCCTCCCCAGCACTAGATCGGGCTGGGGAAAGGAAATCAGCCCAGCTGGGCTGAGTTGCCTTTCCCAGCCTGATCCAGCTCAGTTCCCTTCTCCAGCCTGATTGCAGCACTGGGGAGGGGGACTGAGCCGGGGCTCAGTTCCCTTCCCCTATGCTGTGATCAGCTTCCTGCACCCCAGCTGCAGGAGGTGGCAAGAACCAGGGCTGTGCTTCCCACGTGGCTGAGCCTGGAGACATCGGGAACGCAGCCCTGGTTCTCCCCCCATCTCCCACCACCTGACTGGCTGCTTTGAAACTCAAAACATTTTCAAACTTTCAAGACATACAAAAAACTAGAACTCTTGGTTTCAAAATGATACCTTGTATTAGACCAACTGGAAAATGGCAAGATAATTGTCCTTTTCTGCAAGCTTTCAGTATCAAAGTCCCTTTGTCAGGCTCTGGGAAAAGTGTAGAGGGTAGAAGATGGTAAACAGTCCCCATAGGTAGGAAATAAACTTCATTTTTGTGCAGAGGGAGCTGAAGATGGAAGGCTGTCCCTCTGGGTCCATGGGAGTGTCTGTGAGCTGCGTTGAGTAGCTCTTTGATGTGTTGATCAAGGAGAATTCCTTCCCTGGCGGTGTCAGATGGCAGGCAGGGAGGTAAAAAAAACCCAACAAACTTCCTTGTTGTTCTGCAGTGAAGTTTAAAATCCAAAAATCACCTGAAATTTGGCATCTTCCAAGTACACCCCTGAAACATGGTAGCTGTATTGGTCTGAGACCAGAAAAAAACATACAAAAAACTAGAACTCTTGGCTCCAAAATGATGCCATTTTCCAGTTGGTCTAATAAAAGGTATCATTTTGGAACCAAGAGTTCTAGTTTTTTTGTGTCTTTTTGTCTCAGACCAACACGGCTACCAAGTATACCCTTGAAACTTTCAAAGCGTTTTGACTAGTCTTGTTTTGTTTTGAGGCTGTTTCGAAGCCGTTCATTTGGTTTTGATTTCGCTGTTTGGAACTTGAAATGAGTTGAAACAGTGTCAAAACAAAACGGCTGGTGAAATTTTGCATAGCCCTAGTGTCCATCTCTATTCTGTACCGAGCAGCCAAAAGGCATATGATCTGCCTGGCCAATTTCCTACTGGCAACTCTGAAAAGCCACAGAAACAGGCTTACAGGAGCCACCTCTGACACCATCCAACACATCTGCTTCCTGGTCCGGGTACTTTTTACACTTGAATTTGGATACTTTACCTTGCAACAAAATGTGGACTCATTTGTGTTGTGCTGGGTCACTGAAGAGCCACTTTGCAAGGTAGAAGGCAGACAGTTGGTCCTACTTGTGTAACCCTATAAGGGACAAGGGGAGGAGGGGTGTAATGGGGGCCTTCTCAGGGCCGATTTACCTTTGGCCCGCCCACCTGTTTCTGGGCCAACCGCCTGCCTTCTCTCCTGCCACACCTTGTTATTAATTAATTAACCATCTTAATTAGGCGGGACACTGCCCATTTTTCTGCCCCAATGCCAGGGAGCGCTATCTGCAGCTCTGTACCTCCTCTACACCGCAGCCCATGCCTTGCAGATGGTATCCATAATTACTCTCACCGGTCCCACACTGGGCCCCAGAATCCTCCTATCAGGACCCCTCCAAGATCCTTCCATTCAGGTGGCCTACCCTGCCTTCATTCAGGCCATCTAGCTCCCTGAAACTATTTTCCCTTTTCAGGTGTGGTCCCCCTGAGACCTTTGGCCATACAGGCCCTGGCCTCACCTCCAAGGCCAGTCAGAAACCCCAGGCCCTCGTAGCTCTGGGCATCCCTTGCAGTGGGCCCCTGGCCCTTTCGACAGGCCTGGTCCTGGCCCCAGCATTGACCAGTTGAGGGTACTCTCTCAATCAGGTCTGAGTCTCTAGCCCCACTATCTCCAGGGTCTGCCTTCTGGCCCTATTAGCCAGTGACCCACCCAGTTGTGGGGGCTAGGGCTCAAGACACCCCGACCCACCTTTCACCAGGATGGTAACTGGCCTGGCTTTTCCTGGGGGCTCCCGCACCACTGAGAGCCCCACCAGGCCACCCACTCCCGGCAGGGTGCAGTTCTGGTCATGCCCAGGACCAGGAGCCTCCTGACCATCCCCTACAGCTCCTCCCTTACCTCCAGGGTGTTCCAACAACCCTGCAGCCAGATGATGTTGCTGCCTAACCTGCCAGCAGCAAAATGCCCTGCTTATATAAGAAGTCCTGAATCTAAAATGACTGCCGCTAGCTGGCACCTGCTAGCTGTTTGGCTCTGATCTTAAAGTGGCAGGCACAAACAGTGCCCTGCCATAAGGGGGCTTTGATCTCTGGTGACATGATGTTTTTTGTCACTTAAAAAAAGTGTTTCATACGCATGCTCAAAAGTGTGCTGTTAGCTTTTATTTATTTATTTATTTATTTATTTAGCATAACCTCTGAGATTCTTAGCACTGGGAAGCTTCCCAGCATACAGCAGTCTTAACCTTGAGCCTGAGTAAAGAGTTTGAGGTGTTCCCATTTAGAAAAGAGACAAGTTATCATGTGTAGGCTATACATACGACCTAGCTCACCCAGGTCTTCTCTGTGGGAGGGGTAGCTGGCTCTGTCAGTAACACAGAGAAAAGCACTATGCAAGGCATGAAATGTAAAATAGATGAGGGATGTGATTGTAGACCTTAAACCTTGTTCTCTGCTCCCCAGGATCTTGTGGACTGGCACAGACCACTTCTATGGCAGGTGGGTCACCTGGGGGAGAAATATGATGAGTGGGTGCATCAACCTGTGGATCGACCCATCCGTTTATTCCACTCAGATATCATAGAGTCCTTCTCAAAAACAGCCTGGTAAGTGTCTGAAGATATCTCACTGCAGCTTGTTCTGGCCTCATCTGTCTGCAAGGCAAGTGCTGCTTGGTGCATCCAAGAATAGAACTTTGAATAGGTATTGACCAGAGATGGCATCCCCAGGGAAGGGATAGGAAGTCTGTATCTGGCTGGCCTTTTCCTGCCCATCTACCTTTTGTCATAGCACTGACAGCTCCTGCTGTTCTGGTTGGAGAAACCTGTTGCATGCAGGCATTCAGGGTGCTGAAATCTGAAGGTTAGACTGAGCTCTGGTACCAAGACAGTTTCCTATGGGTGATTCAACATCTGTGTCTTGCTGGAACCATGAAGACCTTTCTCCCATCATTTACCACCTTCCAGTCAGTACTACAATGAGAATTACTGTGTCAAGGAATGATATTGGATGAGACTTGCTTTATAGTCCACCAATGTTCCTTTTCCCATAACACTCCACAGCTGTGGGTCAGCTGACAGGCTGTAACAGTTAGGGCTGCACGAAGCTTCAGGTACTGATTCAATTTGGAGGAGATGTGACCCAATTCGGTGGCCAAATCTTCAAATCTGAATCAAATCAGGGGACCAATAAAAAGGTCCGAATCAATTTGAAGCTCTCCAAATCTTCGGAAAAGATTCAGAGATCTTCGATGATTTGGGCAGTCTCCGCCAGCTGCAGCGGGGAGCTGGAGCCAGACTTGGAGCTGGTAAGTAGGGGGCGGAGGAGGGGAGGCTGGAGGAAGGGGGAGGGGACCATGGGGGGGACCCCTACCAGCCCCTGTCCCCTGCCTGCTCCCCCAGGCCCCCTCCATGGCTGCCCCAGCTCCTAGTGCTTTAAAAAAAAAACAAAAACAAAAAACTCCGACTCACCAGGTGATGCCAGGCAGGGGGTGATTTCTGCTGCCCCCCACTGCATGGGGGGCTCTGTCACAAGCCCCCTGACCTCTGCCCCTTCTCCCAGCCCCCATCCCTCCATGGTTGCCCTGCCCACCCCAGCTCCAGCCCCCCCTTTTTTTTTTCCTCCCCTTAAATGAAAAAAACCCCGAACTCACCAGTGCTCCTGCAGCAGCCCTGGGGCTTCGAATCACTGTCCCCCGAATCGGCTGAATCTGAATCCAAAGTGAATACTAGCCGCTTTGCACAGGCCTAGTAAGTCTGTGCGTATGCTGTTACCCCAGGAATG